ATAGTGTTTTTATTCTCTCTATTATTAATTATTTTCTTCGTTTTTCTTTCTTGAAATATTCTTTTATCTCTGTTTTTCCTTCTTGAAATATTCTTTTATCTCCGTTTTTCCTTCTTGAAAAATTCTTTTATTTTCCTCTGGCCTGTATTCAACATGGACAAATTGTTGCTAAGGGTAAATATCTATTATACTCTCCAGCAACATCTTACTGACTTAACGCAGTAGTTGTTTTAGAGAAAATGCCCACGGGAGAGATATACGCATTACGCAAATTAGGCTGTTTGGCCTCAGTGCTGACTTCTTGCTTAGGCAGGTCCTTGTACATAATTCTGTTTTAAAAATATCTTTGCAACTATTAAATGCTTGAAATATAAAGGTACATGTTGATTTTTATGATGGAAAATTAAAAAGAGCATCAAGTTATGGTGTCAGATAATAAAGATATCATGCGGTGATTGTTCATTAAACGTGCAAATTCATGAGGTGAATATTTGAAGTATATGCACAAGGCAGAAAATGCAAGTATGAATGAGTAAAAATGATAAAGCCAAGATCTTTTACTAGCCAAATCAAACCTGTAACACCTTAACAATTCTGCAATCTCAGTAGTATGCTTAGTTAATTCATTTTCCAGCAAACGTGAATGGTTTTCACCAAATTCTAATTAAAATTTAGTTTTTTCTTTATGGAAACCATTATGTCTTTACTGAGCCACATTCATTAAATCTCTCCTAAATCCTTTAAATCACCTTTCCTTTATTGACGTCGCTTTTGGCCAGCTATACGACGTCTTATGAATTTTGAAACATTAACATTTTAAACATTCGCACTAAAACTCGTTTCAATGTTACAATAGAAACCGTTTGCTCAGCATATACATGGTGCACGAATCCTTAATAATTCAGTGAATTGCCTAATAGGAATGGAATTACGCCTTGGGTATATATTTCCCCGTTTGATCTCAAATTCTTAAATATTAAAAATTTAAAATTAAGTAATTATGGAAGGAAAAATATATTATGCCCTAAACATCTGTGGATTCGGTGCAGGACTCCACACGATGAAGGACTGAGAGTATCCTCTTCCCGTGAGCATGACTAACTTAAAGATTATCCAACCATCCCAGAAACCACGACTCATCTTCACAGAACATGACTGAGCACGAAGAGATACCATAACAGTTGCTAGGCATACACTCACCTTCCCTCCCGGACCTGGCTGGAGGCGAAGATGGTACCGTCGTCCGGGTTAAGGGAGAAAAGAGGGTGAGGGGAGCCCACCCAGCGGAAGGTTTTGTCGGCGAGGTCCCAGTCGTCCGGGTCGTCCACATAGACACGACCCAGCGGCGCGTCAGGTCCTCCGCCCTGTGTCGCCACGGAAGACAGAGAGAGAGAGAGAGAAAGAGGGCGATGCTGTGTTAAATATAACATTGATCTGCGCTTCTATATATGTAAATATATATAGAACTAAATATACGATAACATATGCAATATAATGTGTTGAAAATAAACAATCTGGGCTTTATATCAGATAACTGTGGGCCTTATATCACTTCCACAGGATGACATATCTCATATATGTTTACACACTTGATATTTTCATGTTTTTTTTTTGCGTTGGAGAAATTAATTAAGAACACCCATGGAAGTTTTTATTCCAACTGACCATTAAACACAGTGCAACTGTTTGATAAGTCACTCAGCAGTGTCCGTTTCCCACAGCCCGTCCCAAAAAGCCTTTCCCTCAGGTGATACACAAAGTGCTATGCAGTCGAGAGAATTTTGAATCATTGTTTGATTGCGGATTTAGGTCAATTCGTTCATTACGGCCGGACTAAAGCCATAGCGATATCCGCGAAACAAAATTTTAACTCGTAAATGTGATATATTAGTTTTGGAATAGAGTTAAATGCTGACAGAATATTCTGAGTGTTGTGTATTAAATGTCGAGGACTTTGTGGTCAGATATTTTTGGTGGGGGAAATGTGCGGTTCGCGAGTTGGTCTGGCATGCGGTATATATATATATATAGTGTTCCTGTACTGAGTACTTGTACCTGTACTGTCCAGTACTTGTTCCTGCACAGATACTCTTATCCGCGTCAACTGCTGTGCGAGTGTCGATACTCGTGTTTATATCTGACTCATTGCCTTCATTTTTATAGCTGCTGCAAATGTACCTGTCTACCTGTCTGTAGAAGCAGCTGTGTTAGGTGTTGACAACATGGAAGCCATATTACCCGGCGTTCACTGGTACAGACAGAAGGGAGTGCAGTACCCTGTGAAAACAGAAGCCGACAACAGGAAGAAGAGTACCCTGTATACAGTCGAAAATACAACAACTATTTCTCACCCCTCAACATAAAAAAAGTGTAGAATTCACAGGCTTATAGATAGTGATTGCATTACATGTCCATCTATCCACCGTCTGTAACGAAGCGCGAGATGAGGGATTCAGGGAGAGAATTGCTGTACATGAAGCATACAGAAACGAGACCAAGTGGCTTGTAAGTCAAATAAAAAATAAAATAAAAACCGCAAAAAAAGTCCTGGTCTTTCCAAGGCAGCCAACCACGCGCCATCACGACAAAAGGAGGTCACGTTCCGAATGTCCGAATGAAATTTACTTTCGACTCTCTCTCAAAACAAAACAAAATTGTCACACATCTTCCGAGGCACGTGTGGTTAATTTCCAAGACTGTACCATGTTTCGTAGTTAGTTTTCAGAAATGAAACCTGATACTTGATATAATATATCCTGGTTATATTATCTCCCATGAAATATTTTCTTGTTTATACATTGTCTGAAGAACGCTGAATATTGAAGCCGGGAAGGAGCTGAATATTCAAGAGAATCTCCCTACATAAACAACGACTTGCAATACTGAGGTCACAATACTGACATCTCTTCACGAAACACATATAATGAGCCAACTCTGAGGAGTTGTTAGGGGGGTATTTCAAGAGAGAATTTAATTGGAATTTTCTTTAACAAAATAGGATAGTTGCTATCTCTAGGAAAACAAATCTGTCAAATTGGCTCATATGTTAGTGCAGATAATTCCTAAGTGTTCATTTGACTTTTCTGAGCAGCATATAATACATCTTATTTATACATAAAATAGTCATATACAACTTGAATTCTGTTACATTCATAGAGAGTTGGGGAAGGGGAGGGGGGTAGTGGGAGGGAATATACAAGGTATTTGAAGAGGCAAGACATGATTCGAGGGGGGATGGAATTTGAGTGGCAGGGATGGGAATTTGAGAGAGAAGAGGGAGTTGGGGGGGGGGATAGAGATATGAGGCATGAGGCATAAAGAAGAGGAAGATTGAGCTTCAAACAAAACAGAGCCACACGCCACTCAGAGGGCACGAACCTGGGTCTTCCACAGGTAGACAGTCTTGGCGGCGGGCTTCATGGGGTTGTCGTTAAGGTCATCAATGACAACGGTGACGGTGTGGGTGACGGACAATCCCTGGGCGTCGGCCGCCCACACCTCGACTAGCAGCTGTGGGTGCTGCTCCCTGTCCACCGCCCGCACCGTCCACAGCTCCGCGCCCCCACGCCCACTGTCCAGATCTGGTGGCAGGACGCAGTAAGAAACGCATCAATAGCAGAAATAAAATGCATTCATAGGAGTAAAACAAGAGACGTCAATGAGAAGAGAACAAACTATTCTCTTTAAAATATACTCATAATAACTAAGAAAATTGCAATACAAATTCTGTAATTTTGATAAACACAATGTTAGAACAGTAAATCTTATCAAAATAAAATAACTTGAAGACAAACAATTTTCATTAAAAATGCAATAATTGTAATAAAAAATAATGTATACAATAAAAATAATAATATAGTAATAATAACAAAAATGATAATAAAGATGCAGGCAAATGGAGTAGGCAACCAGCATGTCCAGGGAGGGTCGCCCATCACTTAGATACTAGAGGGGGGGAAAGGAGAGAGGGAGGGAGTTAGGGGGGAGTGAGGGAGGGAGAAGGGAGGGAGAAGGGAAGGAAAGAGGAGAAAGGAGGGAGAGAAAGGAGGGGGGAATAACTCAACACACTACAATTCCCAAATAAGAAACAAAATTGTATATCCAATACTATTTTGGAATGCCTGACTACAGTTATATCTTAAAGTTGTTAGACATTTTTTTGAGACATGGTCGCACATCTTGGGAGAAACAAACCAAATATGCACCTGACTTAGTGATGTACGACCGCTCTCCGCAAGGATTCGCAAACTTTAGAAAAGGCCTGACAATCTATTTAACTTCTTTAAAAGTCCCTCCTTTGGAAGAGGGGTCGTAGTTTAGTGGTCGTTGATCGATTCCCGGTGGAGGCAGAAACAAAGTAGGACACGGTTTATTTTGCCTGATGCCTCTGTTCACCTAACAATAAATTGGGACCTTGGAGGTAGATAGCTGCTACGGCAAAAAATTGTAAATTCACAGACACACACACAGACACACACACACACACACACACACACACACACACACACACACACACACACACACACACACACACACACACACACACACACACACACACACACACACACACACACACACACACACACACACACACACACACACACACACACACACACACACACACACACACACACACACACACACACACACACACACACACACACACACACACACACACACACACACACACACACACACACACCTCACCACACCCCACACACACACACACACACACACACACACACACACACACACACACACACACACACACACACACACACACACACACACACACACACACACACACACACACACACACACTGACCAAAGAGCCGAAGCTCAACCCCAGCAGGCGGGTCTACTAGGTAAGTAGACCCCCCCCGCATTGGCTCACACATAAATGCACATAAAAACTCACACAAAAACGAACGTACCCGCCATCGTAATTACACAATTCCTCTTGGAAAAAGCCATAAACGTCAACTAATAAGTGCAGATTGATGTGCTGCCTTATGCACCAGCTGGCACCTACATGCACCAGCTGGCACCTGCATGCACCAGCTGGCACCTGCATGCACCAGCTGGCACCTGCATGCACCAGCTGGCACCTGCATGCATCAGCTGGCACCTGTATGCACCTGCATGCACCAGCTGGCACCTGCATGCACCAGCTGGCACCTGTATGCACCAGCTGGCACCTGCATGCACCAGCTGGCACCTGCATGCACCAGCTGACACCTGCATGCACCAGCTGGCACCTGCATGCACCAGCTGGCACCTGCATGCACCAGCTGGCACCTGTATGCACCAGCTGGCACCTGTATGCACCAGCTGGCACCTACATGCACCAGCTGGCACCTGTATGCACCAGCTGGCACCTGCATTCACCAGCTGGCACCTGTATGCACCAGCTGGCACCTGTATGCACCAGCTGGCACCTGTATGCACCAGCTGGCACCTGCATGCACCAGCTGGCACCTGCATGCACCAGCTGGCACCTGCATGCAACAGCCAACCATCTTTAAAGAGCGTAAATATTGAACAGCCACCTGTTGTATTGACCCATTTGAAGGTAAAATTGGCCCTTTGAGTTAATATTTCCAATTACACCGGTTCGGTTCTCGTTATCGATGGCTGGGTTTGTCGGGGTTCTCGCACTGGGATAGATATCATACGTCATATATATATATATATATTTTTTTTTTTTCCATATTTGTCGTTGTTTTGTTCTTTTATTTATTTATTTCTCTAAACACGTCATTATTTCTTTACTTTGATACGTTATTTTCTTGATTTTTTTGTTGGTTTTCT